GGTCGCGATTTTTCAAATTTTCCGCAATTCTATAAAATTTGAAAATTAAATTTTATATTTTAGTTGCCACCTCAATTATAAGACTTTTCCACTAATCTACTACCCAATACCTATTTAGGGGGGGTTGATAGGGTGTATTATATCGGTCAAAACACAGTTTACAGGAAAAACACTCACCCCTCGTGGATTGGTCCGATTTTCGTAATTTTTTTTTTTGTTAGATAGAGGAATATTTTTTACAGGGCGCATTGGACTTCGATTTTTGATTACGTTGCTAAAAACAAAAAATAATACAAAAACTAAAAAGTTGTAAAAATTGATTAAATTCAAACTTGTAACATAACACTTAGAAAAATAATTTTGAAAATCCAAGTCCAATGCGCCCTGTAAGAAGTCTTCCTCTATCTAACAAAAAAAAAATTACGGAAATCGGACCAATCTACGAGGCGTGAGAGTTTTTCCTGTAAGGCATGTTTTTGAGCAAAAAAACAGGTCGCGTGCAGGCCCCTTAAACTGAAAAGATAAGAGTGAGGGGGGGAGTTTGATGTACGACGTCATAGTATATTTTAAACACTACGGCTTACAGAGCCAGTCTGCCACTGGATACTTCAATAGTCAATACTTGATAGATATTAGGATGTGATGAATCCAAACTTGATACACTAGACGTAATAACTACCTACTAGTTCTAGGTCACTTTGTACGGTCGAACATTAAAAGTGCGAAACGTGGACACTTTGATTTTGTACTACTATACTTATACACAAATTATATACATAATTCATATAGACATATAGTATAGGTAACGTTTAATATAAAAATGTCTGAAGACATGACCAATATTATATTAAAAATGTTATTAAGTTTAAAATGTTTAAATACCATTTGGTACATCATGATTTGGTGATATAATTATAATTTTTTAAATATAAGTAGTACAGCCACAATTATGTTACAATTAACCTGTAAATTAAAAAAATGTTAATTGACATTTTTCAATATAATTTTTTATATTTAATAAGTATAATAGGATTATAATTTATAAATATATTATAGCACCATGTAATGTTTGGTTGTTAACAGCTTACATAAATGTAAATTTAAAAAACTGATTATTTTATAACACATTTAAATTACTTTTAAATATTAAATAAATAATTGTTAAATGTCATTAAACTTTATAACATTATATTAATAATACAACTTATTGGCCAAGTAACTACAATTATTTTCAGTAAGTAAATTATAATATGATATATATTTTATGTAGGGGTGAGTGGCTGAATGCCAGTCAGATGCATCCAGTCATACAGTTAATCTCAAAGACTAAGATTGATAAAAATCCGTTTTTATTTCTTATTGTATGAAATCCTTAAATTATTGTTCCCGCAATATTTTGTTAACAACTGATAACAGAACTTTTTGTTTTCCTTTTTGTTTTCGTTGTAACATTTGATCTTAGAAAAAAAATGATGGTAAGTGTTTATTTCATCTTCTTAAGTTAGTTATTAACATGTTTTATGCTAAATGTTATGTAGTTGCTTGCAGTTATAAAACACTTGGTTAATTTATTTATTGAGATACAACGTAATTAAAAATTATGTATATTTTGCCAATACCGGTCAAAACTGATTGGGCAATACCGGTCACTCAAAATTATATAGTTGATCGGATTTGACAGTCGATTTAAAATTGAATGTTAAAAAATTCTATTTCCTATCTATTTACATATAAAAAACACTTTGGAAAATCTCAAATTAAAATATGTTGTGGCCTATACGTTTATAAATCAATATTGAGGATTGACTTAAGTTTCAGTGTTATATTGTTATTAAGATATGCGATTTTTCCCTTGGGTGACCGGTATTCAGTATTTACCCACTCTCCAGTCTCCTCTACTTATATTTTCATTATATTATATACTCAATTAATACTTTATGAATATAATAGTACAAAGGGTCCGCGTTATGTCACTTATGCATTTGAAACAATGGACAGAACAAAGGGACCATTTACCGTAATAACTAATATAATAATATTATATATAGGAGGACCTGATCTAATTGTGTGAGGGGATGCCAGGAATTTAATTCTGGGTGTAAAATTATCTCGTTTACCGAGGGCGTAAAGTATGTTTTATTTTTATTTCATCACTTAGTCATGCAAAAGAAAAACGAAATGCATATAGACAACAGTTTTATTTCATTGATACAAATATTAATTTTCGAATTAGCCATGATTGTGATACGGATAGCAGCAGTCTCTATAAAATATAATAAGCGGTTAGTCGTGTTGAATACGATATTGAGTACAATATTCTCGTGAAAGAATTTATTTTTATTCCTGAATAATTAGTAATTAGTAATTATTATAATAGTAATGCCCGTATTAATATTATAGTAGTGCCTAAATGGCTAAATACGATAATGATGTGACGCTCCCACGAAACGTCACCGTCGTAGTCGAACTATAACGATAACAACATTTAAAATGAATTTATTAAAAATAAATATTACTTGTCGTTTAACCGTCCGAGCAAGCTAGAACTGAGATTTTTTATTACTACCAAATACCAAACTGTAGAAAACTTAAATGTCCGTAAGTAAACTAGTTATTTTTTGTTATAGCATTTAATATATTATATCAAGTAATAATACACAGAGTACCACAATCTTTCGGTCTTGGAAATTGTATATTTTTGAATTTTTCTATATTATGCTTTCGATTCATAGCAGACCAGACTGGAAATCTTTCTTAGGTATATAATGACAAATTTATCATAATTTTCGTTCGAAAAAGAAACCGTGAAAACAATTTACTTCGATATCGTGATCGATGCCTTTGCAGTGATCAAATCCAGAAAAATAAAGTTTTAAATGTTACAAATAATCAGTGCTAATACCTATAGGTACATTTTTTTTTTATAAAAATAAAACTAATTATAATACATTTTTGAGGATTTGTTTCGTAGTAATTGTTATAATTCTGGTATCACGTTTTAAGTATATATAAACAAAAGGTTCATTTATCATATTAATTTTTATATATTTAATAAGTATATGTTATTATTAATTTATTCTATTATATATTATAACCCTAAAAATGGCACTTTTAATGGAGCAAAATATTTGTTTCAAATTATAATTTAATATTGGATTGTTGTTATTAAAACTATTAAAAATGATTTGGTCGAAATTCAATGTAATCATTTATTATATTATTTAAAAAAAAATATAAGGGTATTTAGAATTGACGGCTGAAGTCTCGGGGCTGTACTAGATATAATTGTCTATCTTATAATAATGTGTAAAATTTGCTCTAATTACACAAAGATTTACCTCTTTAAAAATTGTATTTTTCGTGTTTGATTTACATAGTATGTAATTATATTATAATCGTGTGATCTTTTGTGCCAAAGACGATTGAGGTCTGAATTGAAGTATAATGTTTAATTTTTTTTTAATACTGACAATACTAAAAGAGACTTTATAAATAATAAGTGGATAGTCTTGTTGAATACTACGATATTGAGTACAATATTCTTGTGAAATTTATATTTACACTCTAATAATTACAAATTATTAGTGATGCATAAAGACGATTATGGTGTGAATTTCCCACGAAACGTCACCATCGCTCACAATGGTCTGAAAGTCAATTGACCATTTTAAAATTTTGAGAACTTCTGTTTTGTCAAGCTTGCAGAGAAAAATTAGTTCTTGATGACGGTTTAAAACTTGGAAAGCGACCTTTTCCCGTCCAGTAAAGTGGAAATCCCCTAAAATTCTGTTCGCGCATATCACGCGTATATCCCCTGGCCCCTGCAAAACCAGACACTTAAATCTATATCCCGGTCCTTACAAAAAATAAACTTTTGGTCACATCTTATATATTCATATTAGGTATAACCTCCTTGCATAAGAATGACGCGTAAACATTTTCCATGAAATCGTTTACGTAGAATAGTCGGGTTGTGGCATAGATCCCTGCATCACCTTTTCCGTGATCGATGAAAGCAAAGGTTTTGTAATAGTATGTGTGCCGTGCGGGAAGGCAATTTCAGTTTACCGCACATTGACAACAGTCTAAGAACCTATATATAACACAATACAAGTGAATAATATTAATTAATGTTATGCGATATCTTTACAGATTATTAGACATTTTATTCAATAATAGTGTGCTTTTAGACTTGATTATTTTAGTAATTTCATCATTATCTATTTCATATAGAACGTCCTTTTCTATTGCCATGAACTGAAAGCTTCTAGTTCACTTTAAGTAGTACAAAAAAAAATCTATGTTTATAATATTTTTATTTTCTAAAAATGTTTTTCTTCGTTTGCAATTTTATAAGTTAATATTATATTGGCGCTAATTTTATTAGATTTTATTAGGTACGACAATTTGAGTAGGTAGGTACTGTAAAAAAATTTAAAGTTGAAAAATAAGGACCATCCTAATATTATACTTACAACACAATTACAACTTTTGTTGTGAGTAAACTATTGTGTGAAGCAAGCAACTTTTACTAGTAAGCAATATTATTAGGGTGTGCCCGGACCATTGACATCACTCGTCTCCATTAAACTTCTCAACAAATTAATAAATAATGCTAGTAGAAATTTGAACTTAAACCATATTTTAATAAAAATTATATTTCAAATAGTATTATATGACGTATGGTCGGCGATCACAAGTGCACAACTGAAATTATATTTTGCTTTAAATAATATATGGTGGTTCCAAATAAAATAATCTCCAGACTTTATCGACGTATGCTTCAGAGAGACAAATTGGTTGAAACATATGCTTATTATATATTATTGTGTTAAATATACTATAATTACAAACATTAAAATCCACATCACATAGGTATAATTACGAAGAACTTTTACCTACCAATTAAATGTCCTTTTTTACCAAAATATCTTTTGAGACATTCATTTTATAAGCTACAATAAAAGTTTAACTTTTCAACAAATTCCTGTTATACATAGATTTCAACGAAAATCAAAGTCAAAGGTTTCGAGATAAACTACTTTCAAGTTGGAAAGGGACCACAGAAATTGTTAATATTTCCTGGAGTGCTGGGTAAGTCTATGATTATATAATATTTATCTTAGTCCAGTAAATAGTTTTACTAAATACAGCGCAGGGAATTTGCCAATATTGAATTTCTTTATCTGTATATTCTGTAATATTATAATACGTTTACTTCCCTAGGTCAAATTGGTGATTTTGGACCACTGACGGAAAACCTCGATGGTGCAAAATATACGATATATATGTGTGATCCTCCAGGTTACGGTTTGAGTCGACCACCAAACAGAGATTTTTCACGGGGATTTTTGTACCGCGACGCCGATATTGCCATTGCGCTTATGGAGGTAAAATATTTTAGAAGTGTATACAACAACCAGTGGCGTTCTTATGAGGGAGGAGGTGATTAGGATAGTTCTCCAGGGTGTCTAGATTCTGAATAGAAAGATGAATGCATTAGTCCAATGATGCTTTTAAAATTGTTTGTGTATATCTGTAGACAGGTTTTATTATTTTATAGTAGTTTATACGATTTTCAACTTTTAGGAGGGTTTTTCATAGAAAATTGAATCTAGTTTGTACTTTAAAAGGTAAATAATGATAATAGGGGGAAAAAAATTAAGGTAAAACAGTAACTTTATTTGCAAAAACTGATATTGCTTATACTTTATTGGTGTAAGTGAAAAGCTAAGAACCGTAGATTTATTAAATGATCAGTGATCACCAATTGTTTACTTTAACATTCTCCAGACATAATTTAAAAAAGTCCCTGTGCTGTACAGTAAGCTATAAGTGGGTAACTGTAATGTGTAATGGATGGTGTTAAATTTGAATTCAATGATATAGTATCATTGTATAAGAAAAACAATTCTGAGAGAAAACAGTCAGTCAGCCTATGATATTACGAAGTATATTTGATGATATTAAGGTGAATAAAGTAATTTATATATAACCTATTTACGTGGAATGTTGTTTTAAATTTTCAATCCTTAGCTATAAAAGTTGAACATTTTATACATTTTTAATTACAAAATTATTATTAAATTTTAAATTTGATAAATTTTGTCAAAATTTGAACTTTAAATACTTATAAAAAAAAATTATAAGTATGTATTTTTAATATTTTTCAACTGCTAGCGTAACAATATATCAGGAGCCTTGGATTAAATTTTCACGCTTGTTTACCCAACTAATAAAATTTTATTGATTTAATTTGATTTAATTTAAAAATAAACTAAAAGATTGAAAACTGACAATATCCGTTAGCAGCTCAAAAAGAATCAAATTATTTTCAAAATTGTATGATCTATAGAAAATACAATATAAACATTCAGTGAAATTTTCAAGTATCTACAGTCGTTCGTTTATTAATTACAATAAAATAAGAAAATTGTTACATAAGAAATCAAGTGAATATCAAATGTTGTAAAAATATGAATTTCAAACGCTTTCAAAAATTTAATTTGAATTTCTTGTAGACATTTTTTTGTTGATAGAGGTAGACAAACTTATGAGGAATCTTGTATTACATTTTCAAATTTTAGATTTAAAAAGAAATTTTTTTATGAATTTCTAGCTCAAAATAATTTTCGTAATTCTTACGTATTTTGTCAACATTTGAACTTAAAATGTTTATAAAAAAAAATTGTGGCTACGGATTTTTAATTTTTTTCATCTGCCTTTGAAACAATATACTAGGAGCCTTCTATTAAATTTTCAAGCTTTTTTAACCAATAAATAAATTTTTTTTGATATGTATAGAAAAAAAAAAACTAAAAAAAATGGAAACTGAAAAGTCTGTAAACAGCTCAAAATAAGTCGAAATATTTAGAAAATGTTATGATGTCTAGAAAATGCTAATATAAACATTCAATCAAAATGTAATGTTCCTACGTTCATTTGTTTAAGAATTGCACAAAATCCAAAATCATATAGCTAAGGATTGAACATTTCGAACAAGTTTTCGTAAGTAGTTCATACTCTAAATAAAAATAAAAATAATGTATTTATTTTATAATTAATGTTTTTTTATAAACATTTTATATATTAAATTTTAACTATTTTACTATGTGTTATATATTGGTGATTAAAAAAAAAATAATAATAGAGTTTTATGGTATTGGGAGTAGGAACTTCGTCGGACTTTGATCTAAAAAACTATCCACCTCTACAAAAAAAAAAAAAAAAAATCAAAATTAAACTACATGCCACTGACACCAACCGCCACCGTAAACAATGATAACGACAAACAGTGATGGTTGTTTTCTCCGATTCTCCCGCAGACGTTGGGTATCGACAGATATTCGATGTTGGGCTGGTGCAACGGCGGGTGCACCGCGATGATCGCAGCTTCCAGGGCCGCAGATCGGGTCGAAAAGCTGGTAGTGTGGAGCTGCAACGCTTACGTGACGGCCAAAGACCTCGAACAATATGAGACGACACGTGACATCCGTGGCTGGCCCGACGCGTTCAGAATTCCGCAATGCGAAATGTACGGCGAGAAGTACGTGTCGGACACTTGGTCTGGATGGATAGACGCTTTTCGGAAAATTCTCGACGATGACGACGGGGACGTGTGCCGCGGCGCACTAGCCAAGATAAACGCGGCCACGCTCATTCTACACGGAGCAAAGGATGTGCTCGTACCGGTCGAGCACGGTGTATATCTGCACGAAAACATCAATCGGTCGACGTGAGTGTATATATTATATATATAATATTATTATCATGTATCATTTATTATATGTTTAGGTGCCTACCTTATAGTCATGAGTCATCTGTAGGGGCAGTTCTATACATGCGTATTGTTTTTTTTTTGTTATTTTAAAATATTCTGATGATTTTGTAAATGTCCTCAAAGAAATTAAAACAGGGAAGTCTCTATGAAAGTATGGCCTACAACACTCTAAATTAATTAGTTGTGAATATAGTGAAGGTAATAAAATTGTAACTTATTAGGTAAAAAATACAGTTGGTACTATAATTAATAATAGTTTAATTTGCATGTTTAACAAGTTTGCAAATTAATATCCAATTGTTAATGCTTAAAAATATTTGAATCATAACTGTGATGAGTACTTATAAAATTTTATAGTATAGTGTTAGTAAAAAAGAAATTACTAGAAACCATAACTTATGCAAAATTCAAAAATTAGAATGATTAGGTATTAATAAACTAAAATGTTCATATAAGCGTAGGATTATGCTCCTAAAATATAGGTACCCTAAGTTCATCAATATTTCCTATTGCAAATACAATACTGACCAATATAATATTATTAACACTGCAGTATGTCTGTACCTATATTAACACTGCGTTACTGCAACAGAATTTTAATCATAATTTTTTTTTTTTTTAATTGCAGACTTGAAATATTTCCAGAAGGCAAGCATATCATACAATTTATGTACCCTGAGAAGTTTGTTTCGATAGTGGATAACTTTCTTTCTTCTATGCAGTAATGCATAGGTAACCATAATCTTGCCATATACGTGTATAATCTTTATTGTGAATGACTATTAATATTGAAAGAAGGTTTTAACCTACACATAAAATATAAATATATAAGTTATACCTATATAATATATATATTTTATAACGACTCTAGAATAATATAATTACTCTATAATTATTAGTACCTTAGTAATAACTATGAATGAAAGAACAAAACCTAAAAGTTATAGTTTCAAATATAAGACGTGTTTTATTTTGCAATGTTTGAACTGCAGTTAAGGCCACTGATAACACTATCAATTTTTCATCAGAATGACCTTATCGTGACTGACATAATTTAAGGTATTTTTTGTAGGTAGTTCAAATTCAGGGTGGGCATGTGGGTGTAGCTCCTTTGTACAGTAGGTCACTGTAATGGATGGTCTTAAATTTTAATTCAATGATATAAAATCATTATGTATTCTGAGGCAAGACGGCCAGTCAGCCTATGATAAAATATTACTAAGTTTATTTTATGAAATTATTATGGATAAAGTAATTTATATATAACCTTTTTATAAACGTATATAATATATATATTATATAAAATAAATTATTATAAATATTGAAATATAAGGTTTGCAAGATGGAGGGATCCATCCCCTCATCGAACTATTTTAATCACCACGGGTAACAAGAATAACAGTGTTTGGAAAAAACGTCGTTCATGAACGCACGTTCAAGCGTTCACGTTCATATATTATAGTGAACGATACGTGAACGTCACTCGTTTTTTGCAAATATAACGTGAAGGTGGACGTCATGACGTTTATATTCTTAATGAATTTGATCGATTATTAAGACGTTCAATTTATTTACCATTTAATAAATATTATAAGTATAAAATAAATAAATTATAATAATAATATTTTCATTTTTCCTATTATAATTTCTATAATGTTTGTTTGATTTCAAAATATATAAACAAAATACATGAAATCCCAGTGTCCCCAGGTAGACATACAACAACAATAATATTATGATTTCCACAAATTTGTAATAAACATAAACCTAATCGGTTTATCATAATAAGTACCCTAGTATTGTTCTGTGCTAGTATTAGCTTAATTTTATCACTATGAAGTCCTTATCAAAATGTAACTGAAATAACGTGTCAGATATTAAAAATTAATTCAGATACTTTATAAATTGTATATGCTCTAAAGTCTAAATTATTGTATTTTTATTTTTTTTTGGTTGAGTCGTATATGTTTATGGGTTTTTACATTTTATATTGACTGCAGGCTAACGATTCATATAAAAAAAGTTAAATGAACGACCCAACGACGTGCGTTTTTTTAAAAAAACCTGAAGGTGAACGAGTTCATTTTTTTAAAAAAACCTGAAGGTGAACGAGTTCATTTTTTTAGCGAACGTTTGGAACGCTGACGCCTGACAAGAAGTCATCTGACTACACCTGATTACACAATCAAAATATAACCAAATTGTTGAACTGCTTTTTAATTATTAATAAACCATCCTAATGAATGGTCCTTGTAGCGATATCCAAGCGCTGCACTATATGTCTATATAGCTATCGCTAGTGTTTGAAAATTTCATGAAATTTAAAAAAATGAAATATTTCGTGAAATATTTCATGAAATATTTCAAAATATGTGAAATATTTCAGTATTTTAATATATTTTGTTTTATTTTTAAATAAGTTTTATATTTACATATAATTGTCATAAATTACCTTCATCACTATATGGTACCTGTATGTATACCTAACCTTTGGTATTATACATTTAAATTGGTATTCAAAATTTTTAAATATTTTAATGTTTAAATGATACAAGTAGGTATACAATATTATACATGTATATTGTATACTTACTGAATTCTGACATTAGAATTTAGAACACTGAACATTGTGTTAAAAAAAAAAATAAATTGTGTTTTTATTTGTGTTAAAAAAAATTTCAATGTTTCACATTTTTGTGAAATATTTCACAACTTAGTGAAATATTTCAAAATGAAATATTTCATTTGAAATATTTCATGAAATATTTCTCATACTTCAAACACTAGCTATCGCTATGAGGTCGATTCCACGAGCACCACTCAATCTAATTTGATTTTAAAATTATCGATATTTATAAAGGGGGAATCGAACATAATAGGTATACATTTTTTTTTGTTTGAATAAATAATAAACTAAAAAATATTACTTTTTTTAAAAACTAACAAAAATGACAGCAGGAGACATAAGGATATCTGCCGAGCTTTTAAAAAAATAAAAAATGAATACAATACAGATTTTGGAACCTTATTTTCTAATGAATGTATTCATTTTGGCTGTTATTTAAAAACCATTTCCAGTTCTCCTCCAAGTATACAAGAAATGTTAGTGTTTATGAGAAAAAATGATTTAAACGATATCTTAATATAACCTTAAGAGGTTATCTTGGGAGCTACACCAGCATCCAATCTCTACATCTTACAAACGCATAACATAGTAATTTGTAGGCACGTCCATCAGATCACATTTAGCTGTTAGCTTAAAAATTAGAGTGAATTGACTACTTATAAATTTTAGAAGCAGGCCTATTATCTAGTGATGTAGTGAACCTCATACGGTTTTTAGAATCTGAGCGAAGCGATGAATTTATGAATTATACAATGATGTGTGTTTTTCTATGAATGTCAATTTATTACATTTTATTTGTTGGATAAAAAAGCTTGCAAATTTAATACAAAGCTCTTAATATATTTAATATTTATCATCAGGTTTCTGAAAGAAAAATTGGTTAAAACATTAAAATAATTATTGTGTTCAATATACAATATAATAATTATATTACTAATTATTAGTAATTACCTACATTAGCATCAAAATCAAAAAGCCACACAAGTATTTAAATTATTATTATAATATAAGGAAATAGTAATATAATTAAGTACCAATAATTGTGCCTACCAAAGGTAAAACCTAGCAATTAATTAGTCTAGTTTAATTAAGTTTTAAAAAAACTAGCAATGCTCTCCACTGAGGTGGAACCTCATCTTATCGTATAGCAAAAGTACTTAGTTAAACTTGGCGAGAGACAAAACAATATACAAGATAAGATAATGATTTGCAATTACAAAACGAGAAAGAAAAAAATTATAATAAAAATAATAATTAATAATTAATACGTAACATAATATATAATATATTTTAATTGAACAGTTATTGCTATTTACCAAATAAAATATTTTGTCACCACATCATCTGTTTATAAATACAGTAGAAACTCGATTAATCGTCACTGTCGGAACCAGGCCTATGAGGGTTAACCAAATAGACGGTTAACAGAAAATCATCCATAAGCCCATAAACTTACATAATATTTTACAACGTGTGTACATAATTTTCTTCGAAAAACGCAAACGCAAGTTTTTCTTTTATTTCATTATCATGAAGCCCCTTTTCAACAATTGTTTTAACTGCAAAGTCAACAAATGTCTTAGCAGCCTACCTTCCTAAATTACCTTATTAGACGGGTGTCTTGTAGAAAAACCAAAATAAAAACAATAATAAATGAACACATACAAACACTACTCTTACTATTCGAATTTCACAAATATCATTTATGGATCTATAGTTCATAATGTCATAAATGATAACAAAACAATTATTTATATAAAATATGTAGCTTCCTAAATCCTAATACCTTTGCATAATAATTACAAAACTTAACATTTGTATAATATAACAAACACATCATATTATAAAATAGGTACACTCTAATATTATATAGTAAATATATATTATAATGATTAATGATATAAAAAAGGGGAGAGGGCCGCTGATTAATCAATTGATTATGGGGTGAATAGATTAGATTAGTTTAGATTAGACCTCTGGAAAGAAGATATGTTAATTTACAAAGGGTTAAATTTGTTTTTAAAGTGAGAACTTTATTGGTTGGGGACAGTGGCGTCCGTATGTGGGAGGCTAACGGGCTGAAGCCCCCCCCCCATTGCCCGTATTATTATTACTTTTTCAAAAAAATATTAATCAAGTTTAAACTGTCAACTATAGTAAATCTCATATATGTCTTACCAGAATGAATTCATTTTTGAAAAAATATTGTATTTGCATACCAATTTTCATAAATTATCTGTAATTTTTCGGTATAAGTATGAACTACTTGTATGAAAGACCTTGTATTAAATTGTCTAGCCTTAGATATACATATTTTATATTTTATAAGTTTTGAACTACAAATTAACCGTGGTTTTGACGAAATTTGAACTTTAAATGCTCATAAAAAATAACCATGATACCTATGTATTGTTAATATTTTAGCTATAATGAAAAAACTTACGTATTACATTTTTAAGCTTTTTGACTGGATAAATAATTTTTTATTATAACATTTATAGAAAAAAAATTTTAATTAATCAAATACGCAATCCAAGTTAAGACGGTATAACCAAGCTTGTTACCAAACAACTTAAATAAATTTTCATTTTTTTTCTCCAATTCTTTTTAAAAGCACTAAGAATTTTCAATTTCGACCTCCTAAAAGTACTAACTAGATCCAATTTGCTTCCAAAAACATACACTGGGTATCGAAGCTTATGATCAGAGCATTTTTCTACCAGAAAAGTTGAAAAGTTACAAACATTTTAAAATACCCCAAATAAACGTCTGCAATTATTAGACTGGACAAAATAAAAATTAAATTGTAACTAATTTTCAAGCCCCCCCCCCCCTTTGAAAAATCCTGCGGACGCCACTGGTTGGGGACCTATTTTGTTGAACGTCCGCGTCCGCGTCCGTCCGAGGACAGGGCATGGTGCGGGGCGCGCGCATAACAGCTGCGACTCTCCTCTCTTCAGCATCTGTGCGCGCGCAGGCAGCCAAGCACAGATTCTTTTTCGTCTCATTTTATACAACTCTGTGTACACACGGCGCGTAATATCGCGGATAATATTACCTATTTAAAATATACGACTCGGATAACTACGTATCGCCGGA